TTGCAGCATGGTCATGGGCATATTATCACGTGACCAAGATCCAGGGAATCAGCACCCGGTTCATCTTGATCAGACCTACATCTTCATTTTGATGACAATTCTTATCATTTATCGCTGACCTTTTTAAGTAACGTCGATGAATCTATTTATAAGCAAATGCTGTAATGTGTCTATATTTGTCTTAATTTTATTTAATTATTTATTTTGCTTTGAGGACAGCCTGAAATAAAAATGATTCAACTATTTCACCTTTGAATTCCTTGCATGGACACTTTGAAAATTGTGAAAGAAATTTCTTAAATGTACATGTAAATTTCGTTTGCGGCCGATTTGATGCTTTGCATCAATTTAACTTGTATAACACTACTGAAGGCAATCGTTTTTATAACTGTGTAAATACAGGTATGGGGTCAAGAGGTCATAGATTTGCGTTTGGATAAACGTTCGACGTAACTTCTCTGTTACTGATACTTTATTACTTATATTTACATTTGTGACTTATTCTAAGTTATTCATACTTTTTATTTGCCTGATTGTTACTTTTAATGTTTGAAATGCGTTTATTTTTCAAACCCAACAACATGTATGTAATCCACTGAATGCGCGTCGACCCTTTATGACATCACAGAGAATTACGTCTAACCTTTATCCATATGCACATCTATGATCTTTTGAACCCGTACCTGTATTTATAGTTATAGATATATGTGTAGACAAGTGCAAATTCAATATTTTTACATCATGTACCTCACTTTCCAATTTTATCAGAACGTAATTTTTATTATGTTGCGGAGCCGAGGCTGACGTCATTACTCGTCACGCTGCAGCCAGATCTATATGTGTGAAGTGAACGGCAGACCTTAGCATTTTGTATTTTTCACACAATATTACAGAATCCAGGTGTGTATTATGTATTTTTAGCTCTACTGGTCATAGACCAGAAAAGCTTATGCGATGGTAATGTGTTCGTCGTCCGTCTGTATGTCTGTCTGTCTGTCTGTCTGTCTGTCCGTCTGTAAACAATTTTTCAAAATGCTACTCCTCCTACAGTTTTGGTCTGATTTCAATATAACTTGGCACACAAGTAGACTACACTAAGATACATAATTCTGTGTATCGGTTTTTGATTTCGATGAACGGTGTTGCCGTTGTTACTAAAAATAGAAATTTTTGCTTCAGTCTCGAAAGAGACTAGCTCCTGGTTTTTAGCTCTTCTGGTCAGAGACCAGAAGAGCTTATGCGATGGTAATGCGTCCATTGGTGTCCGTCCGTCTGGTATATATATGTCCGTCTGTAAACAATTTTTCAAAATGCTACTCCTCCTACAGTTTTGGTCTGATTTCAATATAACTTGGCACACAAGTAGACTACACTAAGATACATAATTCTGTGTATCGGTTTTTGATTTCGATGAACGGTGTTGCCGTTGTTACTAAAAATAGAAATTTTTGTGAAATTCTTTCAAAATGCTACTCCTCCTACAGTTTTGGTCTGGTTTCAATATAACATGGCACACAAGTAGACTACACTAAGATACATAATTCTGTGTATCGGTTTTTGATTTAGATAAACGTTGTTGCCGTTGTTACTAAAAATAGAAATTTTTGTGAAATTCTTTCCAAAATGCTACTCCTCCTACAGTTTTGGTCTGATTTCAGATATAACTTGGCACACAAGTAGGCTACACTAAGATGCATAATTCTGTGTATCGGTTTTTGATTTCGATGAACAGTGTTGCCGTTGTTACTAAAAATAGAAATTTTTGTGAAATTCTTTCAAAATGCTACTCCTCCTACAGTTTTGGTCTGATTTCAATATAACTTGGCACACAAGTAGGCTACTCTAAGATACATAATTCTGTGTATCGGTTTTGATTTCGATGAACGGTGTTACTGTGGTTACTAAAAATAGAAATTTCTGTGAAATTCTTTCAAAATGCTACTCCTCCTACAGTTTTGGTCTGATTTCAATATAACTTGGCACACAAGTAGACTACACTAAGATACATAATTCAGGGTATCAGTTTTTGATTTCGATGAACGGTGTTGCCGTTGTTACTAAAAATAGAAAATTCTGTTAAATACTATCAAAAATGATACTCCAAATAACAGTTTTAGTCTGGTTATAATATAATGTGGCATGCATGTAGACTACACCAAGAAAATAAAAGAGACTAATCAAGGATCATTATTCTATTATTGCTGTTGAAAAGTTTCAGTTTTCAACTGCTTACAGTAGTTTTCTTCTCCCTTTGCTATAAGTACAAACCAGTAGAGCTTCAGTCTGTTACAGCAGAGACTTCTGGTTGCTAATTGTTTCCTCGTGTGCATTTATGCAAATCATTATAAGAATGCATTTCTTAGAATTCCATGATTTGTACATGGGTTGTGTATTCGGTGAACTTATTCAGAAGGGGTGCAGCCTAATTTACTTGCAAAGTCGTATTTTACTTTGCAACCAAAAAATGGCGGATACGAAGCGGAGAAGCAAATGAGGTCAGTATCTTTTGTGTAATTTTAGGAACTATAATTATTAATTTTGATAATGGGATGTACGTTTCGGTGCGCCTATCTATCCTTTCCAACGGGAAAACTAAGCTAAAGCGATTTACTTTACGATGAAAAAATTATTGAAGAAAAACCATAGGCATGTGTGTCTTTTGTTTGTCGCATTCATAACAATCATCGGCTATTTTGTAGAATATTGCACATTCCAAAGCTGTGAAAATTACATATATTTGTAAATTTTCCGGTAAAATATTAGAAAAACACAATTTCCATTCACAAAAAGTCAGCTTTAGAAATTTAATCAACAATTTACGACTTTAGGATTAAAATTACTTTGCAAAGTTGATATTAGGACATGTTTACTTTGCAACTCTGTGATTTAGAACGTTAGTATATTGAAAATTCAAAAGGCCTCTTCGCCAAAATTACTGGCTGTGACATAGTGTTTGCAAATAAATTGTTTGCTTTCCAAAATGAAAATGACATGTCAACCAGCATAATTTAAGTGCATTGTGTGTACACTGTAATTCCTATCATTCTAATGATGACGGGGGGTGTATTTTTTGGTTTGTTTCTCCCTTGCTGTGCTGTACTTTTTAAATTTGTTTTTGTTTTCTTTCTGAGAGACTGGCTTTGAAACGCTCGAAAAATAGGGGGATTCTGGACAAGGCTAGGGCATATGCAAGTTTCATAGAACATTTAGACTGTTCTCAGTCGGGTGGATTGCAGTCCACGGATCTTACATTCCATCACCATTGAGAGTGGGTGTATTGGAAAAGGAACTGTACAGGGTGTATAGAAAATCAGCAATTTTTTTTTGTGCTGTAACTCATTAACTAATGAAATTCAATTTTAATATGTATAATAATTTATTTTTACGACGAAAATTGTCATAAATTGTAGTGGTATACATTGTAAGATGTCAGATGACACTTTTATAACAGTAATTGTCATTTTCTTTCATCGCATTAAAGTATTTCATGTATTAAATTTTACTTGTCAATATATACTGTGAACTGGAATAAAAGTTTTGATAGTTGAATTTGTATAATTTGCATGTACAGTGTATTAGAACCATACCATGCAAAAGATACTGACCTCATTTGCTTCTCCGCTTCGTATCCGCAAAAAATACCGCCATTTTTTCGGTTGCAAAGTAAAATACGACTTTGCAAAGTAAATTAGGCTGGACCCCTTGTTATTACTTATATTTACATTTGTGACTTATTCATATTTTATATTTGCATGATTGTGACTTTTAACGTGTGAAATGCATTATTTTTCAAACCCAACGACATACATATGTAATCAACTGAACAGGGGTCAACCTAATGAATCAACAAATTAACGCACGCCATATTGCATCATCTTTTTAAATACACATAAGTGGCCTTAAAATAGGGCACTTTTAAATAATGATGAGGGAAAAAATTAAAAATGTTTACCAAAATATACATTTCATAATTTAAAATAACAGAAGTTTTGCTCAGAGATGTTTTAATTATTACTTTTAACTGATGTTCAAATATTTTTTTAATATGGTAAGCGATACACAGATACACATGCAGTATTAGTTAAGGTAAAGTGTCTGGTTTATTTCTTCTCATATGGTTAATAATGTAACTTACCAAGTTTTTTTTTTGTTCTTATTTTCTAATTTCTTCTTATAAAAATCGACATGTATGTTGAATATATCCTCACTAATAATTTTTTTTTAAACCTTAAGAATACATTACGTGTCTGCCGATAATTAATAACATGTTGACAGATATTTACAACAGACACCAATCATATATTTTTAAAGCATCTGTTCAACAGTTCTACACTTCTTCAGTATGTTAGATTCTCGGAAAACCGGCCACCCCTCTAGTCCGGCCATTTTATTCAGTCCGGCAGCTGGCCGGTTCAGAGAAGTTTTACTGTATAAATAATCGCTGTGTAATATTAAGAATTGATTTACTTGATTAAAACGTTAACAAACAAAAAAATTCATTTTTGACTTCACATTTTTGTTAACATATTGCTCCTACCTATCATATAGGTGGCGCATTCACTAGGTCAATATTGTCACAGAAAATTGAATCCTTGACTATATGTTGGACTCTTGATAAAAAAAACAATGTTTTTAATTAAAAAATGTTATGTCTTGCATATGAAAGTAAATGATTTCCTACACTCCCATCTTTCTCTCTTTGGATTGCTTTATTCTTTTTCCTTATGACCGAAGTATCAAACGATGAGAATAATCACTGATACTGATAAAAAAAATGTAAAATTTGTTTCTTATGACTCTGCATTTGCCAAAAAACAAAGGAAGAAAACAAGCAGCTGAATGTCTATTTTTTACAGACAATTGACTCAAAAAATATTACTCCACACACTGGAGTTTTATTTTACAAGAGAATCTTTGATTTTAATTTGAATATGCATCTATAAAAAAACAAAAATTTCAAAAAACAGCATTCATGGCAATCTGTCATTGTATTCCTTTACCTGTAACTGTGCGGCCGGTAGGTTGATGTCGGCCACCATCTCTGTACACGGATGTTCCACTTGTAGACGTGGATTGAGCTCCAGGAAGTGGAACATCTCTGTCTCCTCGTTATATAGGTACTCCACCGTACCGGCACTGACGTACCTGACCATCTTAGCCAGCGTCACCGCAGCCTAGAAATATAATACACTCATTATATATAGGAACTGTACCGGCGCTGACGTACCTCACCATTTTAGCCAGGGTCACCGCGGCCTAGAGAGATAATATAATTTTTGTCTTGCTCAATGTCTCAGAAAACATTTTCAATCAATCCTTGCTATCTCAAACTTAATTGGATTGAGAAAAAAGTAAGAGTAAATAAGGATGTGAGATACAGGGGTGAAATATTAAAAGAATAAGTGATTGTAGACTTCTAAATCACTTCGACATATTGATATTCGTAATATAGAGATGTATTGTATTAAAGTTTGACCGTACATGTATTTTGAAAATACTTTAAAAGAAGTCTTCTCTTTTGTTGTGAGGAAGAATACTTTATTTTGCTTTGCACACAAAGTCTTGGAACAGTTTGTTGATAAATAAACTTTTACCACAATTAACCCCAAGCTCTACCTACCTGTTCCATCTTTTCGAACACCTCTGGTTTGGCTATAGAGGCGGGCGCCTCCTCAATGATCTTCTGATGTCTCCTCTGGATGGAGCAGTCCCTCCCAAACAGGGAGATGGCGTTACCGTAGTTATCGGCCAGGATCTGGACCTCCAGGTGACGGGCGTGGTTCGCCAGCTTCATGATGAAGATGGGGGATCCCGGAACCTCAGCCTGCACCTATATTTAAAACACAGGATTCCTCTTTTCTTTTAGATCAATCATCATTACATGTAAAGAACTTTCTGATTACAGCTAAGAATTGAAACTCAATATTGTAAAAATTCTGTTTGAAACAAAATGTGTCTAATTCTTAGAAGCAGAATTTTGTTGAGAATATTGAGAATTTGGCATAATCAGCAAGGGTTCTGAAATGGCTAAAATTAAATATTCATTGGCTAACAATTCACTCCTTTCTAGTTGTCACTATATCTCTTATATCTCTTAACATTATAAAACTGCTTAATCTACCTCTCACTGAAAAATATATTTATACCATTATTTTTAATGAACCCAAATGGCCATAAATTTGCCTCTCACTATGATTTCCACTTATTTATAAAAGGTATCTATCTTTATCCTTCACATACAAAAAATTTCTTACCACTTTTTATGCATTCACCCTTCAAAACAAAATAACTCTTTCTATTCTTTACCTGTCTGAAGAGATTGGGGAAGTCGTCAGCATTCTCTGCCTTCCTGATGCCCTTCCCTCCACCTCCCTCCGAGGCTTTGATCATCACAGGAAACCCGATCTTATTGGCCGATTTCAGACCCTCGTCCACGTCGGCAACACACCCCTTCCTGAAGAGGTCCTGGGGCACGCTCACTGGCTTATTGTCACTCTTAGAGTCGTTCAGGGTCAAGCCTGGAATGAAAATGTCCAGTAAAGTTATCTTCATGGGGTCCAATCTTGGAGATTTTTTTTTGTGATTGTGACATTTAAGAGATTAACATTAACATGATATTTCTTATTTAGTGAATGACATAAATTTGTGACATGAATCTCTTTGTACTACGACAGCAATGAGAATTACAATATTACAGCATTATAAAAGTATATATTAAGTATATTTCAACCTCATTTTTTACAACATCTTCAAAAAATGACTTTTTAAATTAATTTATTATTTTAATAAAATCATTAGTGAACATTGATATAAATTGTATAAAATACCTGATCCACTCCATGGCATGGTGGAGACCTTTGCTGTCTGGGCTACAATAGAGGAGGCGATCTTGTCACCCAGGGCCCACATAGCTCCCTCTGGTGGACCTGTTCATAAACAAGAGCAGATAACTTTACACCTTATGTGAAACAAGCTACACCAAAATAATGCCTCAAATATGACCTTATCGGTTAATAAAAAGAAGTATTTCTTAACAAAAAGTCAAAATATATTTTAAAATTATTTCTGCAAAATAGATAAAGTGTCTAGAGACATTGATACCTAAGAGTGTGTCTTTAAATTGATTAACATTACCAATAAATATGATTCCGTTTTTATGGAGTAGTTCTGGTAACTTTGGATTCTCTGAAGCATGGCCCCAGCCCGCCCAAACAGCCTGCAAAACAGAAAAGAGAGTATTTAGTTTACTTGTACATGTATTTACACAGCCAAATTATTAAACAGAATAACAACATAAATCAACAATCTGAGTAAACTATAGTTAAAATAGTACTGTATATTTAATGAGATCTAGATTCATCATGTGCAGCACACCGGGATCAAGACTCATCTTCTCTTTGGCCATCTGCCTGTGGAACACCCTGCCACACACAATACAGCCATCCGCCTGTGGAACACCCTGCCACACACAATACAGCCATCCGCCTGTGGAACACCCTGCCACACACAATACGGCCATCCGTCCGTGGAACACCCTGCCACACACAATACGGCCATCCGCCTGTGGAACACCCAGCCACACAAAATACAGCCATCCGCCTGTGGAACACCCTGCCACACACAATACGGCCATCTGCCTGTGGAACACCCTGCCACACACAATACGGCCATCCGCCTGTGAACACCCTGCTACACACAATACAGCCATCCGCCAGTGGAACACCCTGCCACACACAATACGGCCATCCGCCTGTGGAACACCCTGCTACACACAATACAGCCATCCGCCTGTGGAACACCCTGCTACACACAATACAGCCATCCGCCTGTGAAACACCCTGCCACACACAATACAGCCATCCGTCCGTGGAACACCCTGCCACACACAATACAGCCATCCGCCTCTGGAACACCCTGCTACACACAATAAGGCCATCCGCCTGTGGAACACCCTGCAACACACAATACAGCCATCCGCCTGTGGAACACCCTGCTACACACAATACAGCCATCGGCCTGTGAAACACCCTGCCACACACAATACGGCCATCCGTCCGTGGAACACCCTGCCACACACAATACAGCCATCCGTCCGTGGAACACCCTGCCACACACAATACGGCCATCCGCCTGTGGAACACCCTGCTACACACAATACAGCCATCCCCCTGTGGAACACCCTGCTACACACAATACAGCCATCCCCCTGTGGAACACCCTGCTACACACAATACAGCCATCCGCCTGTGGAACACCCTGCTACACACAATACAGCCATCCGCCTGTGGAACACCCTGCTACACACAATACAGCCATCCGCCTGTGAAACACCCTGCCACACACAATACAGCCATCCGCCTGTGAAACACCCTGCCACACACAATACAGCCATCCGCCTGTGGAACACCCTGCCACACACAATACAGCCATCCGCCTGTGGAACACTCTGCTACACACAATACAGCCATCCCCCTGTGGAACACCCTGCCACACACAATACAGCCATCCGTCCGTGGAACACCCTGCCACACACAATACGGCCATCCGCCTGTGAAACACCCTACCAAACACAATACGGCTATCTGCCTGTGGAACACCCTGCCACACACAATACGGCCATCCCCCTGTGGAACACCCTGCCACACACAATACAGCCATCCGCCTGTGGAACAACCTGCCACACACAATACGGCCATCCACCTGTGAACACCCTGCCACACACAATACGGCCATCCGCCTGTGAACACCCTGCCACACACAATACGGCCATCCACCTGTGGAACACCCTGCCACACACAATACAGCCATCCGCCTGTGGAACACCCTGCCACACACAATACAGCCATCCGCCTGTGGACACCCTGCCACACACAATATGGCCATCCGCCTGTGAACACCCTGCCACACACAATATGGCCTTCCGCCTGTGGAACACCCTGCCACACACAATACGGCCATCCGCCTGTGGAACACCCTGCCACACACAATACGGCCATCCGCCTGTGGAACACCCTGCCACACACAATACAGCCATCCGCCTGTGGAACACCCTGCCACACACAATAGCTGTCTTGCCAACCCTAGGGGCCTTCAACCTGCGATCCAGATACCCGAGGCAAGACGACCTTGATTTATGATTGTGAATACAGACTTTAAGTGTACAGTCCTTAGTCACTGTATGTACAGAAGTTAGACAATATTCAGTCAACAGAGGAATGAGCATAAGAAGATTTTTTTATTCAGTCAGTTTAGTGTACCGGTAACATTCACATAAAAGACAGTCCGTGATCCGGAAGTTTAAGGGTTACTTTACTGCGCCAGGTTCGAAATAATTCGACTTCAGAATCTGAGGCACATTTATTCCAAAGATTTCATTCTTTTGTTAAGATCAAAAGAGTGAGGAAACTAATGCATGGTAAAAATATGGCTGCATTTCTTGTGTATGGTGGATTTGCACGCTGGAAATGGAAAAGGGAAGGGGGTAGGGTAGTTATGTGTTACCTTCAGAATTTAAAAGATAACATTCACCATTCTAATGAAAGCTCTGAGGTTTCAAAATAATTAGTTTTATCTTACTGTCTTTGTTTTTGAAAATCATTACACAAAAAATTCAGATATTTGTATTTCACTGCTTGTTGTACTATTATTTCTTTTGCGTGTCAGTATAATACGAGATGAAATCTTGTATCAAAGAACACTTAGTTGATAAGATAGACAGTATCAACAACCGGACTGTAACAACGAATTTAATTGGGTGAGGGACAGACAGACACCTTACTATCGCATAAGCTCATCTGGTCTTCAACCAGTTAGCTAAAAATAAAGAAACAAAACATTTAAACTTTTAAAACTCAAAACCCTTTTTTCAAAGGGATGGTGGCAACAAAAAAGTTAAGAAGCTTTGAGTCAGATCATCAAAATGAAAATTTCTATATTGAAAGATTAATATATTCAGAAACACATGGGGGTTCAGAACCCTCCTTTCACCACTGTATACTACCAGCCTTTATCTAATTTTAAAAGTTTTAAATTCCCTCTTTAGTATTTGTGTAGCTAAAATGAGATGGAAAGATAAACTGTCTTTACATATCCTGTCTATATTAGTATAGACATCAGAAAGATTATATCCTATATCTCTAACAATCTGTTATAAGTGAGAGGGAAAAACTAAACAGTTACTTCCTACAACATTTTCTTCCATAACCATGAAAGGAAAACAAAAAAAAAATGCAATTATTGAGAAGTTTTTATTAAAATTCATCACATTGCTAGGAGAAGCAATGTTACTTTTACATTCAATTATATTAAATTTGTGTTCAATATACCTAATTACATTTACTGAAATTCAATGCACACAGATAGACAATTTGTTCGACAGTCAATAAATTAATATTCAGAATATACACAACTTGGTTTAAAAAGGAGCAATATATATGATATTCATCATAGGTAGAGTAATAATAAATTAGTACAAATAAGTACAAAAATAATTACAAACCCTGGTAATGTTTCACATATAATACTGAATCGAATTACAAAACAAATTCATGAACAATTCTAATAATTAAGTCATTATGAATGACAGATATGGATTTCATATAATGCAATTTTATGCAAATTTGATCCAAATTGCACCTAATGATTTCATATGATTTGTTAAATAGATATGTTTTTTAATACAGTCACTGTTGATTCTAATTGTTCATTCTGGTCACGTGTCCATGTTGGCCAGAATTCTGGAGACCTCTGACCTTTGACTTGAGGTCATGTGTTGTGTGATGTGGACAATAGAATCCATGGCAACTTCTGGATTGTTTTGTATCAAGCTGTCAACAGAAAACAAAGTGTGTATATCAGCAATGTTTCACTAATAGAAAAATGGTAGCGAATTTACAGTTTCACTGTCACTAATCTTGACTCGTCCAAATGACTGGATATGTATTTTTCAGCCATCAGTTTTTTTCTGACTATAATCGAGGCAAAATGATTCATTGGGTTTAACACAATGTCGAGACTATAGCTCTACTTGTTTGTACTTATAACAAAGGAAGAGAAAACTAGCCATTGCCATCAGACCAAAACTGTAGAAGGAGTAGCGTTTTAAAGGAATTTCACATAAATTTCTATTTTATGTAATCATGACAACACCGTTCATCGAAATCAAAAACGATGCAGTTAATTATGTATCACATTGAAGTCTACTTGTGTGTCCAGTTATATTGAAATCAAACTAAAACTGTAGGAGGAATAACATTTTTAAGGAATTAT